TCTACGAAAGCTCACGCCGCCAGTTTCTTTCAGTTAGTCTCAAAGGTGCTACAAAATCTACGTACAGATTCTACAGACTTAAGACAGCTATATCTTTGAATTCGGCCATTGACTACATTAGTCAACTGTGCTGTTTAGCGGCTGGTCTGAATTCTGCTAGCAAACCACAAGGGCAGCTTTTGTTTAATTTTTTTCTCCCTGGGACACTTGTGAAGGCCACCGAAAAAGAGGTTAAGGATAGACTGTGTGCTGCACACTCATGCGCAAATACTTGCTCTTTTTGTCACTCCTGCAGAGTTTGGTGGTAAATGTTACATGGCGACATGAACATGCCGTAACAACACTGGTATGATTTACCACCACAGACCAGGCTTTTGGGGGTTTTGTTTGTGGTTTGCAGGGATGATCTTTCAGTTTGGGGCTTCATACAGTGGCAAACCTTCTAATTGTTTCCCATTGTTTTTTTTTTTTCTTTTCTTTTCTTTTAGGAAGCTCTCAGGAATGGTTTGGTGGCTACTGAGGTGCTGATGTGGTTTTACATTGGCGAGATCATAGGCAAACGCGGACTGGTTGGATATGATGTCTGAAAAGGATTACATTTTTTGTCTTTTGCGTCCTAGTGGTGTCTTAATGCTATTAAATATCCCATTGAGATGGAACTTGTGGTAGTGTCTATTAGTATGCCCAAACAGGTTGTTTTTTTTCCAAATTTGTTTATGCTTTTAATACCTTGCCTTTCCCTCCAGAGCTGGGAGTGAAGGCAGCTTACAAAGTTAAAACAAACAGGTTTTTAAAAAGTGTTTTAATGGTGGCTTGAAGATTGAGAAGGAACCTTGACGTTAGGGCTGCTCTTCTTGCTCCCCTAATCCTCCATGCGCTTATTTGGCCATCTCCACAAACCCTTGAAAGAGACCGTGTGCCGTCCAGCGGCAAATGGAAGCGCCTTTGCGCTGACGCCTATAGAAATATCAGACAAGATGAAGATCCAGGCCAGTGACGTGGTACTGTCAGCACTGCCTCTTGGCCTGGCCAGCATCCCGTCCCAGCAGAAGACTGCAAATACAGGTAGATTTAACTTCCTCGCGAACCCTAGCGACAGCACTAGAAGTGTCAGAGTAGAACCCGCTGATTCGAGGAGGGTTTTAATCTGGATGTAAAGAGAAATGCCCAGGTTAGAAGTCACCGCTGTGCAAGAGGTCAGTAAGCGGAGAGGTGCGTTTTGGCCCCAGTGCAGTCCTGGCCTCTCTCTCCCTGCAG